ATCTTTCTTCTATCATTGACAGTCCCTCTAGGTTGTGGGCTGCTTGCCTGTGTTCCTGAGAAGCATCTACGGTACCAGTCTATAGAGTGTGTTTTCTTTAGTGAATTACCGGTATGTTTACCGGTAATAAACTTGCACTGTTTTATGTATATGTTTGATTACATACAGCCTTGTGACAGTTTTCCTGCATGTCATAAGCATTTGAATATAAATTAAAATGTTAAAATCAAATCTGATATTGTTTTACCTTTTATTTGGTGTGTGGAAGGTGTGCGGAAGAGGGGGTAGTCTTATACGGCGAGTATATAACAAACTCTGTATTTTGAGTGGAAATGTTAGGGGGTCATCTTATACGCCCAGTCGTCTTATACGCCGGCAAATACGGTACATCTTTTGTTTTTTCTGCTCACCATTTATTCCTTGAGCTATTCCTCTAATCTTCCTCGATCTGGTGGGCTGCTAATCTGGAGATCCCAAGATCCTTACAGCTGTCATTAGCACCTAAAAAAAGGTGTCAGTTTCCCTGTGACTAAAGGGATGGGCACATCTCCTTAAGAAGTCAAGTAGACCTGGCCTGTATGGCTCATACACTGAAAGATTTCCAGTTCAGTTCAATTAGGTTAGATTCTGGTCAGGGCACATGCCCAGGTTTCAGGCTCAATCCCCAGTAAGGGGTGTGCAGAAAGCAGCTAATCATTGATATATCTCTCTCTCTCTCGTTTTTACCTCTCTCTCCCACTCCCTCCTCTCTGAAATCAATAAAAATATTAAATTAAAAAAAATTGTTCCTTTTTTGTTAATACTCATCCGAGGATATATAACTAAAACCAAAACCAAGTCTTCTTTATTTCTGGTGCAAAACCACCTACGTAACATATATGACCCAGTGCAAAGTTAAATGCAGTTTGCCAGCCCAGAAAGTGGACCCTGATCTGTGCTCAGCTCCCTAAGAACAGGTGCTCCTAAACAGGTCAAGGCCGGAAAATATTTGTAAAATATAAAGCAAAAGGTTTATATGTACAATATTAAAAGTTTCTATAAGTCAATATTAAAAATATAAAAATCCAATAGAAAAATAGGCAAATAATTTGAACAGACAATTCATGAAAGATAGTTTTCAATGATCATATGAAAGGTACTTAACCTTATCAATAATATATCATATTGGTTTATTAGATAGGCAAAAGTTAAAGTTTGACCATTCTCAGGTCTAGTGAGGAAGCTGTGTTGGGTACAACCTGTTTAAAGGCCAGTAGATGATACCTATCAAAATTAAAAGTGCTCATATTCTTTCACCCAGCAATTCCTCTTCTAGAAAGTCATCTTACAGAGACACAGTGAATGCTTAAAAATCTGTTTATTCCGCCCAGCTGGTGTCGCTCAGTGGTTGAGCGTCAACCTCTAATCAAAGAGGTCACAGGTTTGATTCATTGGCATAAGCCTGGGTTGCAGGCTCTATCCCCAGTGTAGGGTGTGCATGAGGCAGCTGATCAGTGATTCTCTATCATCATTGATGTTTCTATCTCTCTCTCTCCCTTCCTCTCTGAAATCAATGAAAAAATATTTTTTAAAAATCTGTTCATTCCATCTTTGTGGTAAATCATCTAATTGTTCAACAATAGGGTACTGGTTGGATAAATTGTGGAATAACCATGTAATCCATATAGTATAATATATGAAAACAATGAATTAGCTCTGTATGTGCTGATATGGAAAAAGAAGTACCTGCATACACTGAGGAGTAAGCAAAGCAAGCTGAAGTACAGAACAGATAGTAAGATCCCACTGTTTTGAGAATAAAGTGTGCTCAAAGGTCACATGACATCACCTTCTGGGTGGATCTCAACCAATACTAAATCACTTTTTATTTTTAAAAAAATTTATTTAATGATATTAGAGAGGGAGAGAAGAATGGGGAAAGAGCAAGAGAGAAACATTGATTTATTGTTCCACTTTATTTATGCATACGTTGGCTGACTCTTGTATGTGCCTTGACCTGGAGGAACCCCAACCTTGGCTATGGGACGATGTTCTAACCAACTGAGCTACCTGACTAGGGCCACTCAATTATTTTTCTTTAGAGTATTTATGTTTGTTGGACGTTATCTCTTTTTATTATCTGAAGAAAGCTCCATGTGTACAAGAACTTTATTCATTCAGTGCTTTATCCTCAGTTTCTAAAACATTTTAGGTGTTGGATAATTATTAATTTAAAAATGAATGGGGCCCTGGCTGGTTTGGCTGAGTGGATGGAGTGTTGGTCTGCAGACTGAGTGGTCCTGGGTTCGATTCCTGTCGGGGGGCACGTGCCGGGGGTTGTGGGCTTGATCCCCAGTGGGGGGTGTGCAGGAGGCAGCCGATTGGAGATTCTCTCTCATCATTGATGTTTGTCTCCCTCTCCCTCTCCCTTCCTCTCTGAAATTAATAAAAATATATTCTTTAAAAAGTGAATGGGGACTCATAAACTTATATATACTTCAAAGTTATATGTTTCAAAGAAAATAGATTTAAGGTCATAAAATTTTTATAATCTGACACTAAATGCTAAAATAGCCTAAAATAATTATTTGTAGCATCTTTTACCCACTGACAAAGAAGCTTTACTTACATAGTGTCATTTGGTCCCTATGAAATGCATAAAAATAGAAATAAACATACATTTTCACTTCGCGGTTTGCTAAAGTCAGTCTTTCAATTGATGGTCTCCACCCCAGATGGGTTGAATTCGCGGATGCGAAGCCTGTGGATAGGCAGGAACAACTGTATTTATTGTGAGGGGGAAACCCGTGTATAAGCGGACCCGCACTGTTCGAATCCGTGTCGTTCCAGGGTCAACAGGACAAGTACCGACCCTTCCAAACCCCATTCAGACCAGACCCCCGACCTCATCCCTCGGCGAACCAAACGCCCACACCTCTGACCCAGCTCCACGCCCCGCCCAGAAGCCGCGGAGGCGGAGCTAGCTCCGCCCACGCCTGCGTCCTCTGCGTTCGAAGCCCCGCCCCTTTCCGAGGAGTTTCCCAAAATTCAGCGCGGCATACCTCAGCCGCGCTAAGATGGCGACTCCCATGCATCGACTCATAGCCCGGAGACAAGCTGAAGCAAATAAGCAACGTGTAAGATGTCAGAAATCCTTGGAATTTGGAATTCAGCGCGATACCTCAGCCGCGCTAAGATGGCGACTCCCATGCATCGACTCATAGCCCGGAGACAAGCGTAAGTGAGGGCCCTTGTTGGGTGCGGGGCGGGCTGGGGGCGGGGAGAAGCGCGTCAGCCGGCGGTTGAGCGGCGTCCGGATGCGCGGCCGGTCTCGGGGCCTCAGACGGATGGGCAGAGGGTGGATGTTTTTCTCACACGGAGCCTCCTCGCTGCTCGGGCCGGGCATAAAGTTTTTGTCCGTAGGCTAGCGATATCGCAGGAGCCGGCTGCGTAGGGTCCCGGTGGCGGGACCCGGGGGTGGGGGCGGGTTAGTCTGAAGAGAGCCTGGAGTTTGGTTTCCCGGAAGGGGACGCACAGGAGTTGGTCACAAAGTGGCTTGTGCCCCTTTGCCCACCCGGCCGCCTGACTCTTGCGTGGCCGGGGGCCCCTGAAGGCCTGATCCCGCCTCCCTCTTCCCGCCGACGGAAACCTTCAGCTTCCTCTCGGCGGCCTCTAGCCTCGCTGGCTCTTCCTGCCCCTTTCCTATCGCCTTCCCTAGGAACAGTCTGACGGCAACGCCGGCTTTCCTCCCAGGCTCTCTCACTTTCTGCCATTCATTCTGTTCAGCAAGTATTAATTTATTCATTTCCTGTCGCTCTGTGTCAGAATTTGGGTAGAAAGCAAAAGAGGGGTTCAAGACAAACTCCGACATGATCTCACTCATTCATGGATAATTGAG